GCGGGTGGCGCTGTGGGTAAAACCTCAGTGCCTAGGACTTGCCGATCGCATGGTCGGTGGTTCGAATCCCCGCGGCGGGGTGAGCTCCCGACTTTCGGTCCCAGCTCCTGCCAACCTAGCAGTTCGAAAGCACCCCCAAGTGCAAGTAGATAAATAGGTACCGCTTTATAGCGGGAAGGTAAACGGCGTTTCCGTGTGCTACGCTGGTGCCGGCTCGCCAGAGCAGCTACGTCACGCTGGCCACGTGACCCGGAAGTTTCTCCGGACGGCGCTGGCCCCCGGCCTCTTAAGTGAGATGGGCGCACAACCCTAGAGTCGGACACGACTGGCCCGTACGGGCAGGGGTACCTTTACCTTTACCTTAGAAAGTAATGCTTACACCCCTGCCTACTGAGTTCTGTAAGTAAAGAAATTGCCCCAGGAGTTTGGATCTTAATCAGGAGAGTAGGTCTGGGATAAAATTTGAATCTCATGTCTTTAATTTTATTTGTCTCTTAATATTAGAGAATTAGCATTTCGTATTTTCTTTAGATGGTATTCCATACCATTACATTTAGGTCACATTAATATAGATTTTTCTTCTTTAAATTTGGGGGGGGGGGAGCGCAGATTTATTCCCCTGGAACATTGTTCTGGTGCTGAGAGAACTATCCAAAGATCTGTTCTTTTCTGGTTTCAGGTTGTTCAGTATATCAAGAACATTACAGATTTCAGAGTGTTCTTTGAATCTACAGGCATTATATTAGGAAGCTTGATTGCCTTACTCCTTGTTGCAGTCAAATATGTAATCACAAATCAAGGGATCCCTTAATTGGATACCTGCAGATTATTTCCTGCAATGGCGGTTATCTTTTCTGAGTTATATAGATTCTACCACTTGTCATATGCAAGACCTTAGAGGCTTAAAACTATTTTTATTTTGTATGCCCTTATGTAATGGGTTGTGATGCTGTTACGTTTTCCTTGTTAATGGTTTTCCTTATTGATGTTCATTAGCCCTTTATATTCTGACTTCCTGGTGCCTCTGTTGCTTACCTGTTATGCTCTATTGCTATTTAGCTCTTCTTTTTTTAAGTGTAGGCACTTCCAATATGTAGCAGAATAAGGATATTCTTGTTTTTTGTTTCGTGTAATTATTGTATGACATTGAAATAATGTAAAATTAACAAGTTTGTTTTTTAAAAAGGAATGTAGTTTTAGCCTCACAATATCCCCAGACTTAGGTTATGCCACAAGAGGATGTCTTTTCCAAAAACCACAGAAAGATTTGCATAGCTGAGCAAGTCCAGCACTCTGTTCTTTACACCATTCTGACTCACATTGTTTAACGTCTGTAATTGGATCTTACAAGTTGATGATGCGTAACTAGCAATTAATGTGCTGCTTCTCTGCAGTGGATACTAGAGTTCCTTTAAAGCTTTGCTGGGGTCACTCAGGGACTTGTTCTTGATGTTAAGATATTCTCTCTCTCCACATCTCTGGGTGACATCATAAGTCTCATAGGTTTCAGTGTTGCTTATATGCTGATGGCACCCATCTCAGTTGCTCTCCCTACCACCATATCTATTGCTGGCTCTCTTTATATTTTATGTAAACTTTATATTTGGGTGCTTGATTGCTTTCCCCAACTCTTCTGTTCTGCCTCATGCTCATGCTGCAATTTTGAACACACTTAGTTGGGTTGGGCATAAGTTTGGAACCTAAGTCCCACTAAGGGTAAACATGCTTAGCTGGGTGCTGTTATATGTTTGGTTCCTGTAGGTTTTGTCTACAGAGCTGCTCACATATTTTTAGTTATATTTGCTGGGTTTTTTGTTGGTAATAAGTTCCATGCCTGCCCCTTTCATATTCTGTATGCTTTGTCGCCTATCTGTGTGTTCTTAGGTCCAGCTTATCCACTGGGATACATGGGTCGAGTCATCTTGACCACCATTGTTGTAGATCCAACAGTTATAATAATTGCTCAGAAGAGTTCCACTGATTTACAGTCTGGGGTACTAAAATGCCACACTTCTTCTAATAATAAGGAAGAGGAGTAGTAGTTTGGATTTGATATCCCGCTTTATCACTACCCAAAGGAGTCTCAAAGCGGCTAATATTCTCCTTTCCCTTCCTCCCCCATAACAAACACTCTGTGAGGTGAGTGGGGCTGAGAGACTTCAGTGTGACTGGCCCAAGGTCACCCAGCAGCTGCATGTGGAGGAGCGGAGACACGAACCTGGTTCACCAGATTACGAGTCTACCACTCTTAACCACTACACCACACTGGAAGAGGCTAGGACAGGAAACATGAATGTGATGAGTGCCACTTGTGTGCTTAAAGATCTTCACTAGCTTCAAGTTTGCTTCTAAGCACAAATCAGAGTGTTTGCTTTGATCTGTAAAGGCCTAAACAGCCTAGGACCTGGGTATCTGATGGAATGCATGCTCCTATTTCCCCGTTTTTGTTTATTACTATAAAGAAACATACGGGAATATACATCAGTGTTGAACATACTAATGTGAACATGTTAGCAAAACACCTCTAGAATTTCATCAGAATAAAGCAAAAACAAACTCTATTGCCTTAATCATGCAATATTTGATGAAGCATGGCTACTTTTCTCTGAATTTTATCCTTCTTTCTCTTTGTTCTTTCAGTCCAAGATAATATGGTAATTCTGTCATCATTGCATATTCTGACATTTTGTTTAACCGGTCTTTCACAGAAGGTGTTTATGTTATTTCACATACAAAACCAGTGTGGTCATATAAAAATACTATTTCTTCATGTCATTGATGGACATACCCATCCATAGAAATTAAAACATTATTTTTGATATCAGTATTCTAATTGGTGTAATTCTTTTTGAAAACGTATAGTTTTTTCATTGCTTGATCAGATGTCAATTTATTAAAATGAACTCCTCCAATTGTTGAGGACTTTGTTAAAGGTCCCACCTGCAGAGTTGAAGTACTTTGCTAACATGGGCATAGCCTTCTAGTTGGCACCCTGTTTATGGAATGTCCCCAAAAAACTGTCCATCAGGCTCATATTTGTCCATCACTTTGGTGTCAAACAGTTCTGTTTACCTAAGCATTTAGTAGCACTTTAATGAACTCTTGTTTTAATCTGGTTCCCTCCCCCCTGTGTTCTGCTTTATTATTTGTTTAAATGTCTTGACTTGAGATTTGTCAAGTGGGTTCAAGTTATTGTTTGTAAGCTGTCATAGGGACTGCATGGTCAAAAGGTGGCATAGAAATTATGAGCAATGTTTATCACTTCACCCCAAAGTCTCTTAATTAAGTGCTTTGAAGCAGTCACATGATTGCTTTGTCACGAGCTCAGCTCAGCCTACAGATTTGTCACACCAACTTTTGTCCTGTGACTTGCAGGGCGAATAAGCAGAAGGCATGCTTTTCTTAAATTTCAGTCCTGGTGCTCTTTAGGTCACTCAGAGGAGCATTTTAGGCTATCACAAACAGAGGTAGGTTAAGATGAGATTGCAAACTTCCCCAAGATCTGCCAGTGGGACTCATAGTGGAAGAGGGATCACATCCTGAGTATTTCAGTCAAACCTAGTACTCTGGCTTCCCTCCCAATCTAGTTTTTCAGGTCTAACAGATGCTTGCTTTATGAAATAATTTGTGTATTATAAAACAATGGAGTAATTTAGTTAGGATTTTATGTACTATCAACATAGTAACTTAGTTATAAATATCTTCAATCTGAATTCAGCAATCAGCACCATTTCTTTCGTGGTTGACATGTTTTAAACAGTAATTATGAAGCTCTAAAAAATTGTTCTAGAAATCTGTTCACTACCCACACAAATGTGTAAGTCAGCCTTTGGGAGGCTTGCATCTTCAACCTGTGATGAAGTGGAATCTGTTTAAATACTTGAGCTACCTTCTTTGGCGTGCAAGTTCACATGATAGGCTGCCTCCCACATTGCTTCCTTGCTTTAATTCAAAGAGGTGAATGATTTAATTCTTCTTTTTCTTTTTAAGGAACAGATTTTCCTATAATTTAATCATAGCACATTAATCTTCATTAAATGTGAAGATTGTTTATTCTTCCTAAATTGAAATTTGCACGTGCTGTTTTCCTTTGCATAAACTTTCTCCTGGGAAGGTGGTGTCAGGCTAGGTAGCTGCTGGGTTGCTATAAAGATGGTAATTTTTCGGATGCTTGAAAGCTCTTCAACGCTGGTTTTAGAACATTTGTTCAGATACTTTTTTTTATCCTTCTAGGGTCTTTGGCCAAATAGGTTGTGTGGGTTTTTGCACGTCCTACAGGAAGAGATTGCTTTCATTTCCCACATTAATGTGACTCGGTTATACTGTCTTCTGTTATCTGAAAAAGCTAAAGTCTGTCTAGAACATCAGAGTACAGTCTCATAAGGCCTCCATTCAGTGAGCAGAAGATTGTATTGGTATTTTTTAGCATCAGTTACATTATTTTGGTGGTGCCCTTAGGATTTGTGCGGAAGCTGTACCTGGATAGGAGTTCCTGGTGCATGGCTCTTTTGTTCAACCCGTCGGCTTTATAGAATGAGCAAGTGAAATATGGTTCCTTTTCAGATTTTACAATGGGCAGGGTTGAATTATTCCCATCACTTGGCATGATCGTCCAGGAAGACATAACCTTTAGTATGCAATTTCTACCATGAAATGGCGATGTCAATACTGTGGCAGGTATATTGGTGTTAAATCCCATGGGACAGAGTGAGTTCGATTACTCCTGAGTAAAATGGGTCAGGTTTAGTGTATGGGTTATGCCATTAACTGTTTTTATTTTATCCTGGAGTGGTTTCTTCACGTAAGTTTCTCAAAAGACAGGCGTGGGAATTTGCATTTTTAATGATGACCCACCTTTGTCTGAGAATGTAGAGTTCCCTTTTTTGTTTTACAAAAGGGACATGATCTGGGCCTGACATAGTTTGTTTAGCTAAATGCTTCCATGTGTTATTTTACTGTTCCTTTCTCATGACTTCCTTTGTGTTTCCCTTCTTCTTAAGCTCCTCTAAGGAAGGCAAAATTTGTGAGAGCCCTCGAATTCCAGAATCTGAGCTTGGCTCACCAAACTCTCACTTCTGCACCAAAACTGGACCTTGATGCCTACTGCCCTGGTAAGCATGCATGCAAAGCCCTCACTGCGTTCGAAGAGAGACACCATTTAGACCTTGATAAATAGCTTGCAGGTTTTATGTGCTTATCAAATCTGGCAGTTTTCAACTTTTGGCAGCAGTTGCTTACAGTACTTGATGCTTGAGTTCTTAGGTGTTAAATTAAGGCTTTCCAGAACTGAAATTACTTTACAGCCAGCATTATATCTCTGCTGGCTCATGTCATGGAGAATGTTTGGAAAAGTTACAGCATTCATTTTTAAAATTGTTTTGTAAGATACATTGTGTTGCTCATTCCCTGTGGCCTTGGGTGTTAGAGGTTGCTACAGGGGCTGCTTGGGTGCTTCTGGGTTAGGCAACTACAGATGTGAAACACTGGTACTGAAAGCAAAGACAAAACAGTTTTTTTTTTTGCCTATTTCCCAGCCAGAGGTGGGGGACATGTTGTGCTCCTTCTGGGGTAGCTTGTCCACCTTTGGTCCCCACTTTGCACTTCGCTCTCACCTGTGGCTTCTAGAAGCTGTCAGCATGCAACAGCAGCCACACCACAGGAAACGGCTTCAACTCGCCGGCTAAACCAAGTGAGGGTAGTCAATGGATCTCAACCCCTTGGTGAGTTAGGGATTTCCCCTGCATGTGAAGACAGGCTCTGGTGGATTGAGCAGACAAGACCAATAGTGGGCCCAATGGACAAGAAGATAGTTTCTGCATGTTCTGTAGAGAGAAGTGAGTGGCAGATGGAGCTCGTCAACCTGGGAAGATACCCATCTAGGAGAAGGAAAACTCTGGTCCTAAACTTCCACTGCCTTGTGGAATATCGTTGGGAGAAGGAAAGGCTAAGAGTAAACCCCACACAAATCCACAGTCGAGTTTCTAAGATGATTGGATGGCGCCCTGTACGTCTCCTTCCGGCAATTCCCGCAGCCAAGCTGGTGCCAAACGTATTGCTCTGCTTTCCTTTGGACCACATCAGTGAGGCCAGGAAGGGGTCTTGTTGTCTGGGCAGCCCATGACCCCCATACACACTACTCCATACATTTTTACCATCTATGCGAAAGCACAGGATGAAGTCATATGAATTGATAAGCTGAAACAGAATCCAAACAAGATGAATGTGCTTGTACTCAAACATACTGGTAATCTAGGTGAAATGTTCAACCTGTTTTGGATGGAGTGGCATTTCTGATGAAGCAGGTGTCTGTCTTGCAGTATTCTTCACTGTGTCATTTTTCCTGGATACTTGGGTGAGGGTGGCCATTAGGGTGCCTTTTATCTACTCCAGTAGATAAACTGGCTGTGTGTGATTTTTCCTGGAGAAGTTGAATTTGGCTTCAGTCATCTGTCCTTCACTTGCCTCAAGGATGGACTAGTGACGTTGGCCTGGCAACTTCATTAGTCCAAAGTGTGATAGCCAGACCTTTGTCTGACACCTATAGGTGGGAAATTATTACAGTGGTACCTCGGGTTAAGAACTTAATCCGTTCCAGAGGTCCGTTCTTAACCTGAAACTGTTCTTAACCTGAGGCGTGCTTTCGCTAATGGGGCCTCCTGCTGCCGCTGCACCACTGGCGCGCGATTTCTGTTCTTATCCTGGGGGGAAGTTCTTAACCTGGAGCAACCACTTCCTGGTTAGCGGAGTTTGTAACCCGAAGTGTTTGTAACCCGAGGTACCACTGTACTGTCTATTGAATATCAGTTTGTTAGCATCTTATCCTCTTCTGGGCTCAATTCAAAATGCATGTTGAAGTATTGGCTGTAAAACAGTTTAGGGCTAATTTGCCTTATGGATCAATTCCTCATATATGGACTTGCTTGGGAATTAAAGTCAACTTCAGAGGCTTTGCTCTTGGTGCTGTCTTAAGATAGCCACGAGTGCCTGTGAAAGGCTGGGCTTTTTATGTGGTGGTGTCATAGCTCTACAGTGCCCCCCCCCGTCAAAATCCATGAGACTCTTTCTCTGTGCCTTTTCCACCAGAAATTAAAGATATTTTTGTTTCTATTTGCTTTTAAGGTATAACTGCATTGTTTTAACAATTTTATCTTTATTTTATGATATAGTACTATCTTGATACCTATACAGTAGCACAATAGCAGCATAGAATAATACATTCTATTATAATACAAGAGTGCTCCAAAAGTGCGCCCTCCTCCTTACACAGAAAATCTCCCAATGTTTATGTGAGCAGACTGGGGAGTGGATTTGGGCAATGGCCAGTTGCTAGGGCACCCTCTGCACGGGCTTTAGAAAGATATCTGCACCTGACCAATCCCCCGTCCTGCTCTCTGCCATGCTTGATGCTCACGGGGCACTGAGGCTGCCACTCGGCTAGGTCGCTGAGCTATTGGTCCTTTGTTCCAGCCTATCAGCGGGTAGTGCCGAGGAGCTCTGCCCTATGCCACTGCCCCCTTGCCAGCTGGTGCTGCTGGCAGCGCTGGCGACAACATGGAATAGGAGGACAAGCGGGTTATCAGCTGCAGACCAGTCAACAGAGTGGAGTTACAGCTCTCCAATCACCTGGACAAAAATAATTGAAGTTTTTATGTTATGAAAAATAAATATTAGGCATCACATTTGGTTGTGTGGGGGCCCCAGTGGAGAGATTAAAGCAAAATACTTTCCAATTTGACTGAATAAATGATAAAGAAGTGAATAATTAAATGTATAGATTGAATATATAATCTCCTAGGAGATACAAGTAAGAATACCTACACTGGTTATTTTAATACATTAATAAATATTTTACAGTGTTGCCCAGATATGTGTGGATTTGTATTTTCCTGCATCATATTATACCAGTAAGACACTCTCCAATTCTACAAGCATATAGGTCAATTTGACCGCATATACTATGTGCCATGGGACGCAGGTGGCGCTGTGGGTTAAAGCCTCAGCACCTAGGACTTGCAGATCGAAAGGTCGGCGGTTCGAATCCCTGCGGTGGGGTGCGCTCCTGTCGTTCGGTCCCAGCGCCTGCCAACCTAGCAGTTCGAAAGCACCCCCGGGTGCAAGTAGATAAATAGGGACCGCTTACCAGCGGGAAGGTAAACGGTGTTTCCGTGTGCGGCTCTGGCTCGCCAGAGCAGCGATGTCACGCTGGCCACGTGACCCGGAAGTGTCTGCGGACAGCACTGGCTCCCGGCCTATAGAGTGAGATGAGCGCACAACCCTAGAGTCTGGCAAGACTGGCCCGTACGGGCAGGGGTACCTTTACCTTTTACTACTATGTGCCATACGCCAATTAACCAGTCATCCAGTGTCAGGGGCCTTAAATTAGAACAAATAGTTGTTCATTCTGCTGTCAATAAATGTTGGACCGGTTCCCTGTCATCTGCTAATTCCAAATCTTTAATGCACCCAAATAATATAACTAATGGATCTGTTGGTAAATCTGTTATTTCAGTTTCTTATTTACTATCCAAAGATTTTCTGAAAATCAGCATTATGTACTTTATACCCTCAGCATGAACTACTTGCTGTTCTGTAAATACAATTAAGATGTAGTACGGTTAAACACCATTGAAACAGAAATTTATAAAAGCTTCCTTTAAAACTGATACTGACTATACATTTTGAACAAAGCAGATACTTTCTGTCTCAAACATTTGTAGAACTAGATATGTCAACTGGAAGCAGGGGTGACTGTAGGTAAGAGTAATCTCATTCTCCCCTCTACATCTAAACAGGGTTTTGACTATTAGCCAATTGAATTGCAAATATATTTCTTTTCCAGGAACAGGTTACGCCCTTTCAGAGATTTCTGGGCGATAATCACTTTGGACAAGGGAGTGTTGCCTGGAATTTAAAAGGTTATGTTATAGAGATTATTCGTGCTCTTTTAGACGTACCCTCTGTGGTTTCAAAAGTTCAACTTCAGTTACAACTTCAATAGGAAATAATGGGGTCTGGTTTAGAAAAGTGCAGTGAAGGTTTTGCCACCCATTTTGTAGGGGAGGAAAAAAAGGAGAAAGAAAAACACCTGTATTGGATACAAGGGTCAAAACTACAAATTTGGAACTGCTTTCATAAAGGGAATTCCTGCTACTATTAGACAGGAATAATGTTTACAATAATGGATTTATAAGATGTTTGTTCTCATGTCTTTTCAATAAACAATCCAGAAGTTTCCCTTTCAAAGCATTAATTCTATCATGCAACAACAAGTTATCACTGTACTTTGGAACACATAAAAAAGAAAGCCTGACTAGCTTTTCAGATACCTTTTAATTGAATAACTTTCTAAAGAAATGCCTGAAGTAACAGATATTATAATTTGAAGTCTTGTTTATTCCGTTATATTTTATTCCAAGAAGACCCATTTATCCTAAATAGAACCCAATAAGGCAGACATGTATGTACAAAGTGCAGTGGTACCTTGGTTGTCGAACTTAATCTGTTCCGGGAGTCCATTTGACTCCCAGAACCATTCAGAAACCAAGGCGTGGCTTCCGATTGGCTGCAGGAGCTTCCTGCACTCAATCGGAAGCTGCGTTGGATGTTCGGCTTCTGAAAAACGTTCGCAAACCGGAACGCTCGCTTCCAGGTTTTCAGCGTTCGGGAGCCGATTTGTTCAGGAGTCAAGGCGTTCAACAAAGACTCTCCTCCCTGGAAGAGAGGGGAGTGGTTGTGGGCGGGAGACCGAGCTCCGCCCCTGGTAGGGGGCCTTAGCCCCCTCCCCTCCTTACCTGGCTGGCGCCCACGCCCACTGGAGGCAGCCAACCAGGTGCCTCAGGGGGGCGTGTGTAGCAGCTTAATGCTGTGGCGCCAGCTCCGCCTCCTCCTCATTCGTCGTCGTCCCTCAGCAAGTCACCCACCCTCCACTCCCATTTAGCTCAGGGTCTAGGTTTTTGGCCTTGCTATGGACCTTAGGTTGGTCGCCCCGGTTGTCTGGGGGGCCTGGTAGGAATTTTTCCATTTGGCATTAGGCTTTTTGGTTTTTTCGCCTACCTCGTAGCAATCGTCACAACTTTTTTGGTATTGGTGGGTAGGTTAGGCATTGGATTCA